GCCGTAGTAATGATTAGCACATAATTTTGTAACACTGTCAGCTGCCGCTGGGCGCCACTCTTTCCATGTCACAGCCCGGCTTCCCCAGGCGCTTGTCAGGTAACAAGGGTAGAGTGCGCAAAATGTGCCCAATGTTTTGAGATCCTTTTCTGGAATTTTATAAAAAAGATTAGTTGAAAATCACTCTACATTAGCCAACATTTATGCACATTCTTGAATTTCAATAGAGGGAAGGCTCCACAATCCAGTTGATGACTGCAGTTGAGACGTCAGAATGGGTTGAAGTTGAGGCACACCTGAAGAGCAGTGTAACCTACAGCGCTTTGCTGCAAACAGGTGACAAAGCGCTACTATGGAGCCATGGGCGGTGGAGGAAAGGAGGACTCAGCTCCGCTTGATTCATGTCAAAGTTCGCTGCACACGGAGTCATCTGCAACGCTACAAGCGAGAAGACGTCCTTTTCCTTCGATACGATTGCAACGCACATGCCTACCCGGCGCAGATTGCGAAAACATAGGCAAATTACAGAAGAAAACCTTTTTTGCCCTTTGCTTTTGATTCCTTTGATTTTCTGGCTTCAGGCCCTGAACAAACAGCGTCCCGCGCGCTTGACATCCCTAAATGCATTCAAGAGCACACTTTTCAATCAAAGATTACGGTTTTGTTGACATCGTGATGGTTGTAGGAAAGAGTTCTCACACTGAGCCCGTGCTACTAGGCAGAACAGGAGTAACGAAATGCAGCGAAGATGGTTCTATCGATCTTTATCTATTGGTATGATCAATTGTCACCCACAACCAATATCCCTATGACTGAATCTTTATAAGTCGGTAGTGTGAAGTTCCATCACGCTGAACAACGACGTCGACCGCAACCTCCCTCGCAGGTCCCTATAATTCTTCTCTTTTTGATATCCACTTTTTTCCGGACTTCCTGTTGATTGAGTAGCTATTCTTTTACATTATCAGCTGCAATGACCTACTGTCACCGACCAATATTGTAACCTCGCCAACACCTGACTTCGATTTTGGAAACAAGTTTTGTGGATGCATCTGACCCTAGCTCTCCAAGCTGCTCTTCAGGTAGGACAGGATTCTCCGGATAGAGAGACAAACACACGTAGCAAACTAACATTCTAACATTTATTATCGGCTTCTAAAGAAGAACACCACGAGGAAGAAAAATGTGTTACCCATTAGAAAGACATCATAGCGATACAGTAAATAGAGAAAAAAAGTTTCGTTGGAAATCTGGAGGAAAGAGAGGCTCCTTTATGGTAGCGGCTCACGTTACGAAGTGATGGAGGAGCAACAGGGCTTATGAGGTGGAGTGGGAGCTTAGTTTTAAAGAGCAATGGCCCGCCAACACTGCAAGACGCATGAGGCATCGAGGGATATCAACTTAGTGGGTCCGCTAGCCCCACCAAGATCTACATGTCGACATAGAAGAGACAAAACTCAGAAAGAATAGTATACCTGAACATAATAATGCTTAAAATAATAATGTGACACAATAACAATCGAACCACAAAAAGTAAAAGGAGAAGAGAAGAAGTAAACCACCTTTCAGTCTTGTAGGACCGATTTTTAGTTACTGTTCTTATTTTCGTACAAATCAAATTAACTAGCTGGATTACTCCGATTGCTTCATGCATTTGAATAAGTTTTGAACAATCAATACTTTATCAGTTTTCTTCGAAACGACTCAGTTGAGTTATTTACCACAGCAAGTGGCAAGTCATTCCAGATCGCAATGACTTTTTGCGTAAAGTAGTTCCGGAATTCCCTGACTTGGCGTTTCTCGCAAAATTTTAAAGTTACGTCCGCTGTTACGACCTGTAATTGTTGATCTATTGAATAGTAGATCATAGTCTATATCTACTAATTCCTATGAAAGCTTATAGACAAATTCGTGGTCAAACATTCTTCTTCTTGATTTGTTGGGCAAGAAACTATGCTGACATGAAGTAATTAGTATTGGAAGTAAAGAATCTCCAAGTTGATAGCAATGATTCTTTCCATAACTTTACATACTGATGATGTAAGTCATGCCGGCCTGTATTTTCTGGAATCACTTGTATCACCTTTTTTATGTACAGGCCTAACGTAACCAAGTTGCCATGCAGTAGGAATATTCCCCTTCAATATTAGCTGGATGATTGAATTGGCAAGAGTAAGAGTAAGACCCAGAGCTGCCTAAGAAATATACACGGAAGGCCATCAGGGGAAGTGGAACATCGCAGAGGAAGGCTGCAGAGGGAAGGATAAGCGTTTTAGATTGATGTCGATCCAATCGAGGGAGCATTACGTGAAAGAGGTGCAAAAATTTGCTCTGGCAGAGACGGGGCTCGTAAAAAGTCTCAAAATATACAGCGAAGGCATCTGCTTCATCTATTAGACAAAGTACTACTCCGACAAAGAAGTGAGTGTACTGATCAGAGGTCAAGACTTAAGTCTGGACTTGCAATAAATCCACAATCGCTTAACGTTTTTTGAGCGAGCAATTTTTTCTTTGCATTAGAGATCATGAAGATGAAATGAAAAATCAAGAAATGACAACACATCATGAAGGCCATATAGCAATCGTCTATACTCTCTTATTTACCAAAGATTTGTTGCCAATTTACTCGAACAATTGAGACACCAAAATCAATGAAGAATATAGCAGACGCGTGTGATTCTTCATTGATTTTGTTGATTCAGTGGAATACAAGGAAAAGGATACTGAAGCGTTGTCGCTCGTTGGATAAGATTATGTCACAATAATTGCATCCGTTAGTACGTTGGATAATTGCATCATATATTGGATGAAACAATTAGCTTGAGCAGAGTCAACCAAGACAACCCCTGGTTTCTTGAAAATTCCTTTCCAGTGTTCTATGGAGGATGAGGCCACGTAATGTTATGGAAGTGAAAATCACCGAGATTGATAACATGTGAACGGTTTTCACTGAGATTTCCAAGGTAAAGAAGAACTTGTTCAAAACCATCAGCTGAACAAGACTGACTACTTTAACACAGTACGAACACAACCGCTGTAGTACGCAAGATGATCAGGATGGTGACACACTGGAGATACAGGGGGGGGGGCAAAAAAGTCACTTCGACCGAGTCACATATCAGCAAAGTTTTCGCAGCCCAGAGAGAAGACGTGGATACGAGTACCAGGGCGGAAGATACCCAAGATGTTCCTCGATAAGCAGGAGCTGGCCCTCGCCCATCACCTTCATGTACACCAAAATATGAAGTCATCTCCAGTCGCAGCCTGACTGGAGAAGACCTTTGGAATCATGTCACCAAACAGCTGCGAAACTTCTAGTGTGGAGTCACCCATGGGTAGCTACCTGGAGACCAGTACTCTCAATCTGGAAGACCTCCAACATCGAGCAGCTCCGACAACGCTACGGTCTAGGACATCATCTTCACGGCAGTCGCCAAGGCGCGGGTTGATGGTATGGACCGGACGCACCTGGAATGGAAAGACCGATATTTTCTTCGTGGACCCCGGACTGAAGGTGAGCGCTGGCGGTTACATCGAGCAACTCGAGAAGAATATCCTCCACATGTCGTCGCCCGTACCTTCTTGGAAACTTTGTACTGCTACAGCATTGGGTGCCACCACATGGAATCGAAGGGCGTTGGAGAAACTCTCGCCTACTTGGAATGGAAGGGGGCTGAGTACCTAAAGAAGATGGAATATCCAAGTAGGTCACCTGACCTGAATCCCCTCAATTACCCGGTTCGGGCGGAGTTCAATAGGGTGGTCTACGGTGGCGGAGAAATCGACTATCTCGCTGATCTCAGGGACCACATCGCGGTTGCGTGCCAGAATCTCTCGATGGCGCTCCTCCAGAAGGCTGTGGCGGAGTGTCATGATAGTATTTAATATGGGTGGTAGAAATGTCCGATCAGAATTTATAAAGTGTAACTTATAGCGCCTCGAAAGTCAATGAAGCAAAGTGACTTTTTTGCCCCCCCCCTGTATGTAGAAAAGCTACGCGAAGATATGAGCGAAATTGAGATAGTGTTCCGAAATAAAGCAAGTACTCCACCATCAGGAGTACTACCTTCAATATCACATCGATACACCAATCAGGAATCTTGTTGTTAACCAATCTAGCGTTTAATAGGATGCAACTATTAAAAATATCTAGCGTTGAATAGGATGCAACTATTGAATACGATTTTTGCTACAAAAGGAATAGTTAAGTCTTGACACATCCACATCCTGACTTGCTTGTGTGAAAGAAGGGTCATCTTATTCTCGAGATATGGACGTAGTGCGATGGGAGCTTCAGGCTTTCGTAACCTGTGGATTTGGAGATCTCTCACTACATAATGCAGTTTTCCTAGATTCGCATTCCACTTACCACCTTGTTTTCGCAAAGTGCGATTCCAGCTCCGATTGCTCGCGTGTGTAATCACGTTGCGCATAGGAATCAAATTCTCAGTCAGACTACAACCACCTGATCTTAGGTATCGCAACGGACTATCCCTTAGCTCTTGAGATGGTAGACAGATCTTGATAATACGCAGGCGCCCCTTCATTCCTCTCTATGACCTCCTTCAGGCTTCTTTGTCGAATTTCCTTGTCGATATGAGTGTTCAGATTTGCCAATCCGAGCGATTCATCTCGTCTTGTCATCTATCTTCTTTTCATCAGCTTTTACCTTTACCATCGTTGAATACAACGCATTTCGGCTAGACACTTCGTTCCGAAAGACTTAAAACTTTTTGTTCTCGGGGTAAAATTTCATTTTGTAGAGTGTTAACCTCTTCAATCTTGTCAATAATCTTCTCAAGCGACGATAGGAGTGCCCTTTCCAACCGATCAGCACGCGAATCATATTTTTCAATCATCATTCAATGCCCACAATGGGAGGTCCTGTGGTTATCACTCTCATTTCTCTCGTTCTTGTTCCTCTTTGTTCCACGCGCCATTTACTTATGGATGGACTCAAGAATCTTGCAATAACAGGTTAAAAAAGGGCTGACAAATTGGTACAGGAAATGATGCCAACATCACGATCTAAAATACGTGTGCCAGCAATGCCAACAAATGGCCCACAAGCTGATCGGGTTGCAACCTGTTGATGGGTGTGTCCAGCCAAGATAAATGGTAGGGTAAAGGGGTAAGTTATAGTCCACAAGGACTAGTCCAGGTTTCATCGACAGGAAATGATCAACTTAAGCAGTGAAAATCACGGATAAGGCTATATTTCTGAAAGCTGACCAACAGAGAAGAAAAAAAAAGAAAAAAACTTAGCGAGACGTGGGAACAACCGCTCAGGAGCGAACCACTGATGATACTGAAAAATTCTGAAGAACTTAATCTACTATATAATTTACAACTATATGCATTATATTCATTACTGTAGTGACTGCGGGCCTTCCAGACCAAAATTACGGAGCTGTTTTAGAAGTCCACTCGCGCATTATGCAAATAACGGGAGCAGGGCTTCCTCGAACGTATCAGCGCGGCTGCGTGATCAGGTTCACCTAACACACGTACTCAACTGTTTGACTTTTCAACACGTGTGCTCTATGAGTTTCTCGACTATACACCCGAAAGCATTTCTGCATGACTCTAGTGTTTGACAAGGCGGCGACATCATATTTCTTAGGAGTGGTGTAAGGTTGCACCGTTACTTTTCACTCTGTTCAGGCTCTCGTAGAGAAGATTTTTCCAAGTATACTCTATGGGTCTTCGCATTCAGCCATACGCTCTGAGAATCAAGCCAAGTTCAGGGTGAACTTACTTGTCCGCAGCCTGATTGAGAAAATTGAGCTTAATCAAGCCATAGAAGAAGAAATCAACAAAAAATTCCTCACCATCGAATCGCCCACATCCTCTCCTCTCCTCCAAAAACATAACGTCGTACTATTGAGCACAGGAGTTATGCAGAATTTTTCCCAGTGCTGAGCGACTGCTGCGGAAAACAAGTATTACACTCAACGAAAATTCAAGCTCTCGACCACCTGTGACCACTTGGCCTGCCACAGTCGTCCAAACCTTACGCCGCTTTATCGTATAGAATTCGAGTATGGTCACCCTTTTCAGCTCCGTAACTTAATATTTGGAGGCCTGCAGCTGTTAAGCAGTTTGGAAACGGTTATGCGATCCGTGTCTGATGACCTTCCGGACGGGAGACATCTCATTTTCAATGGCAAGTTCGACCAAGCATCCTGTATTTGTGAGTGAGACTTGTCCATGGAGTATGGCCAAGTATTAAAAGGGCTCCAAAATACACTGACTCTGCTGATTTCATTTATTTTCGAGGCGCCCTGGACGGCGACGAAGTAGGATTAGAGCCTAACACAATACTCAGCAACATCATGACAGCAAAACATGATGGTATAAGTGGTCTGACAGTTCTTTTAAGGGGTCGGCATGGGCACGCGACAACTGGATCACAAATAGCAAATGGAATGAAGATCGTGATTTCATGATGCACAACTGGAAATTGTCACAATTGAGAATCCCCCTCACACGACCAATACCGTACTGGGAATTCATATTTTTTAAAGCTATATTAATTGCAGGTTCCTCTTGTTCAATTGATTTCGATCTTGCAGTTTGATCGCATTCTCAGACAGCGAATGGTATAATCCTCTTGGTGGACCTATAGAGTTGCCGCTTTGCACAAGGAGGTAAAAGTAAATTCCGAATATCCTAGTACATTTGCTAGTCCAACTTCGCTCCATAAGTGTTTGGAGAATTATGAAACGCCAGAGGGACTTTTTGAGGAACACAACGTGGCAGTATAACAAGGATTTGCTGGCAACTCGCCTAGAAATCGACAATCGATTACTGGAATATTCACGAACTGTCGACAGGCGGCGGGCACTTGCAATGTCCCGTGTTCAAGAAATCAGGAAGCGGTGGTTCGCTGCAAAGAATTAAGTCCATTTCCAAATTCCACTTTCTGTGATTCTTAATACAGCGCACTGCAATAAATGATAGTCTTCAGAGCTGCGAAAATCTTAGTTCCAGCATAACAATGCCATACAATGTCATAAATGCTGTTTCGCTCTTCTCCACGAACCTGTGTCCACACAGCGCTGTGTTGCTCAACTCCGCTTTATCCCCAAACTGCGTTACGCCATAAAGCGGACTGTAGAGGGTAAGGGTGGTCTTGGTGCCGTAGAGGTGAACAAGCGATCCCTGCAAGCGCAAGGTCCACATCTGACATAGCTTGAGCATCTTCGTGACCTTCCGCCCAGCTCCTAAAAAGCACAGAGTCACGAAAAAAGCAACTGGCAGCACTTTATATATCATTGATAAATACTTATTCATCGTTGAACCAATGATAAAAATCTTAAAAAAAATTGTCGTGGTCATAGAGGGATTGGTGCTTCAACTCTCATGCAATCAGCTGCGCACCTTGTGCAAACACACGATGTATGAAGATAGGCCAAAGGTTCTCGACGATAATCGCGGTCGAAGAACTTTCTTACCGAAGAAGTTCTTTGTCATTATCATAGCTTACAATGGATGGATGCCCTTCATACAGGATGAACGGTATACTGCAGAAGCGTCTACGGCGCTGATACCAGATCTCACTTGGAAATCTGCTGCACGATGAAAGGAGCGAGGTGACAGACTTTTTACTGTTTGTGATCATATAGCTACGCTCGCTGCCCATAAGTTTCGCTTGTTGTTGAGACTTCGGACGAGAGTGCTTTATTGAGCACGAGACGACAATTGACATCACACCGCACTGAGGGTCTTTTATAGACCTAAGATGAA